TATTTACATTCCAAATTATCAAAATATATTGAACAGAGTTTACTTTGAAATACTTATATCTTTTATAAAAAATGGATCGCCGTGAATATCTTAGGCGATATCAACAGCGACATAGGGCTGAACATGATTTAGCTGCACAAAATTAACTGGAAAATAATCGTAGTGCTATCAATACGCGATGGCGGAATGCGCGGCGAAGAAACGTTGAAAAGTCAAGACGTTTAAATGAATACCTTGGTGTACTTACGAATACTTCTGATTGAAACTAAAATATTTTGTCAGTTGACAGTATTGAAGTTAATTGAGCAATTACTTGCAATGGTATTTGCTTTTGAAATATTACTTAGAATCAACTTATTAATATTACATGTTTTAATTTGTTTGTAATTTTTGTAAAGTTTTTTTTCCCTCAGGTTTTATTTGTTTTTAGTTTTAAATTTAATTTACTGGGGGGGGGGAGATAAAGAACCATATAGGGAGCGTCCGGCATCCTATAAGATCAACAATGATTTGAGTTATGCTCTATCACGCGTGCTTTGGATACGGAGATTAATCTCCGGCTAATGCCCTATAGTAATGTGTTAAATAATATAAGTTTATAATATTGTTTGTATTGAAATTGCGTTATATAAGTTTATAATGTTGATAATAAGTTCCTCTGACATTTTACAATCCTATCATATTCTCTCTATGTGATGTTGGTGCAGAAAAATTGCCAGCTAATCTCCAGAAAAACGACTTTAAGTTTTTTCGCGAAGCGAACGAAAATGTAATTGCGTAGCAATTATCGGGGGTTGGCGAGCGGTAGTGGGCAGGGAGCGGAACGCTCTAGTATATATATATATAAGAATAAAAACAGGTCTTAGGCATGGAAAGAGGGTACAATATTTATTTAATAATTCTAAACACGAGAGGAAAATAAGAGCAACGGTAACTATCCTCCACTCTAAAAGCGATTTTCCAGTTCGGAGTTGCCGATAGGGTTGCTTAATTGCCCGAAAAGTTATTCGTAATGGGTTACTATTTCTTTTTATTTATCTTAACGTTTGACTAATATTTTATTTTTTCATAAGATGCTATCATCTCATAGTTTTTCATCGATGAATGTAAGGGAAAAGGAAATCACAGACATTGTAGAATATTGATTGATTAATTGATATTCATTTAATTTTGTGCATTTTAAAGTCTTCATTCATCTGCAATTAAAATTCTGAACACTTCATTTCCCCATTGGTGAACTAGTATAGTGTAAAAAGGATTGATTTCTAACTCATAATATGAAATGATACTAAGAGATCAATGAATTTCATGTTGCATTTGTAAAAGGATAATTGGATAACATATATATAGGTCTAATATTTTTACAATTTTTTTGATACATAGAATCGAGTGCCTAATATTATCGAATTCATTTATGTTTTATGAGTAAAAGTAGTTCTTTTATTCATATTTACTTATCTAACATTGCTAACTAAGCAAATGAGATATCATTATCTATGTATACGCTTAATCAAAGGAGAATAAAACCAAGCTGTGTGATTTAATAGTTTAGCAGTTCAAAAATTTATAAAAGTTTCATGTTCAGAAAATAAAATATTTTGATTTCGACTTGTATCAATTTATCCAACTGACACTGTTATCTTGACAACTGAGGCAGTGCTATTTAATTATTGCAATTATTACAGTTTAATTTTTTATCCATAATCCAGTAAAATAGTCCTTTAACATAATTCTTTAGAAGAAATGAGGGCTTAATGCATGAAATGTACAATTTTTGACTTACCTTTTACTCATAAAATATTTATAACATCAAAACTATTAGATCTATCAAATCAATTCCATTTTTTTTTTGAAAATTTAGTCTAAAAACTACATAATAAATATTGTCTGACTTGCCTATACAACAATGTCTTAGAATTTTATTCTCGTAAAATTCCTTTACATTGCATTAACTTCAATTATTGTTAGGAATATCACTTTTATATGAAATACCAATTGTTTTTAACACTAGATGGCTCAAGGAGGTAATTTTGACTGCTTTTTAATATCAATTAAAAAAAAACAATGATGTTAAACGAGTATAATGACGAATTTCTTAGAATTTTGTGACTTTTTGTACAACATATAATTTTTTTATTGTTAATATTTACTAATAACTTGTTATACAACTGTAAATAATATAAAAAAGTATTAAAAATTAATTTTAAACAGATTTCTTTACACCTTAGTTATTCTTTCACAATCCAGTCTCTTTGACTGCTTTTGGGGAAGATAGGTATATACTGAATTTCAGTCTTTCTAGTGTTAAGGAAAAAATTGTTTTTTAAATACAAGAGGATATTCAATGTGATACTTACAATATATTATTGAAAAATTTAATTTAATTAAAAATTACAGGACTTATTTTGGGGCAAATTTATTGCAACATATACTGCATAAATTAAAATTTATTAATAACTAGAAAAAAAAAACATTTTATTAAAACATTATATTTTATTAAGAGCACCCATTTCATATACCCTATTATTTTTGTTTTAGGCTTTAAACGTATTTTGAATTTTAAATAATACAGGAATAAATTTAAAAAATAAAACATATAATATCAAGTGTAACATTTAGAACATTATTCATTTACATTTTTAATTTCAATCATAAGAATGATATTGCATCTCCTTCCTTCTACACTTGACAAACCATACAGGGTTTCACAAAATATCTGAAATAAAAGAAATAAATCACTATTAAGATTTAAAAAAAAATTATTAAATTTTATTAACACATTATTAGAATAACGGAGATTAAATAGCATTCATTTGAAAACAGTAAAGCCTTCAGGTATTCATCAGAAACTTATTTTAGGTTTGATAGATATTTTGATTATAGCTCTAAGATTATTCTATACACGAATGAAAAATTGGAGGTATATTTTGTTTTGTAGTTTTTATATTTGGACTGAAATTCGTTTTTAAAAAATGAATGGTATTTATAAATGAAGACTATTGAAACTGAAACTATATTGAAAAATTAGTAAGGTAAATTTACATACTTACTACCATTGTAGAAAAGTATAATATCAATAGATAAGTATAAATAATATTTAATGAAGTAATAAAGTAAAGTACCAGTGTAAATTTAAAAAAAAAAGGTAAAGTACTAATAGTTAACTTTGAATAATAATAAACAAAATATTATGCACATCATCGTTCACCAAATAAAATAGGGTATGAATATAGGAACAGATAAGAGGATTGTTAATTTGTATTTTTAAAAATTACTTCTTATATATTAGATTATCTTTTTTCAAAACTTTTGTTTTCTGAGTTTTCATATATATATATATATATATATCCACAAAAACAGTGGATTCTAATATTGCATTAATAATACAATAGTGTGAGGAGCACCAAAAAAATTGAAACGAAAATAAAATATATTAAGCAAAAAATAGGAAAAAAAAATACACAATAGAACACAAAATGTCACATATAAAGCGAGTAGCGAATTCAAATGTACTTCCACTTACCGGTACCTTACGAAAATGATTTAGATTATTTTCGTAATAAATTTGCCAGATTCAGAATATGAAAATGAAAGCGTTAATAGAAGATAGTGGTATGGATTTAATGGCCCCTTCTTACTGAAGTGCAGAACCACATTTGATTTATCAATTACCTAGGATTAGCCTGAAACTGGATATGAGCAAAGTAATAATATTATATTGGATAATTCAAAGTTTATAATTAATAAAAGTTGAATTTCAATTATATAATTTTAATTTTGGTAAATTTTAGAGAAATTAAAATTTGTTCAAATTTTTTTTTATTGAAAGTAAATTCTTCATTAAATATTAGAAGATCTTTACCCACGGATTTGACCGAATTGAATTTGCAAGTGGTAAAAATATAAATTCAGTTAAAGAAATTTTTAATGAATTTTTTAGTAATTATAACATACAATTAACACAATGATTTTATGTAGAATTTAATTACATCAGTTGGGTATCCATTGTTTTTTTTTAAACAAATTTTGAAAGAGTTTGTCGATTTGTTTTTTGAATAATTGAACATTACTGCTAATTCTTTTAATTCTATTCATTTCATTAAAATTAGTATTTAAATAAATATTTGTAGAAACATTAGAACTTTATTCAATCAGTTTATTTATATAAATTTAAAGTCGTTTCTTTTTTCGTATAAATCAACATTGCAGATATTTTTTTCTGTTTTAATACTTAAATCCAATAGATTAAAATTAATGTTATTGTCTTCATGACATTGTGAATCAATTTTAATTCCTCGGGGTAAATACTATTTAACAATATTGCATAATTTTGAAAATTAAAGATAATTGAAATATCAATATACCAAAAAACAAATTTATCATTATTAAAATTTTTTTTTCAATAAATGTTAATAATTTCTCTAAGAAACATCGAACCTAAAACTATCTAATAAAGCTCTACATTTTTTAATTATAAACTTTGAATTATCATATATATTCTTATTCTGTTTTACCTTATCCAGTATTATTACCTTAAGTACATCAAGTTTCGGGACAATCCAAGGTAACTGACGAATCAAATGTGGTTCTGTACTTCAGTAATCCATAAAATACATCTCACTATATTCTATATATGCTTTTATCTTTATATTTTGTAATCTGGCCAACTTGTTACGAAACTATTTTAAATCTTTTATGCAGGATGCCGAAAAGTGGAAGTACATTTGAATTCTCTACCTGCTTTACATGTTGCATTTTGTGTTTTATTCTGTATTTTTCATGAATTTTTATTTTCTATTTTTTGCTTGAAATGTTTTATTTCGTATTTTTTTTCGTTGCTTAATATGTTCTATTTTTGTTTAATTTTTTTGTGCTCCTCGCACTATGCTATTGATATATTTTGCTTTGGCTATATTAATAAAATTTAAAAAAACACTCTTTTTTCCCCCGGATATAATCGTGTAAGTTGACAACCTGACAACGAGAATATATCTTTTCTTTATTTTGCCTTCCTCCGGCTTTTTAATTTTTAAATACTTTTAAAAACATTTTATTTGTTAATGATTCTTCTCCTCTTCAACTCGCATATATATATATATAATATAAATTTTTTTAAATCGAATGTTAGAAGCAGTTTTATTATAAGATGTTAGTATAAAAGTAGATATATATTATTAAATACGCACTATTTAACTAAACTATCCATAAAAAAAGAAAGAAAAAGAAAATCATTTATCAACAAAGTATAAACTTTTCTCCTGAAGAGTAAACAGCATCTTCCTTCCTTCCACACTTTCCACCACACATATTTCAGAGCATTATTTGTCACTTAAATTCTCCTCTCCCGCCATATCGTTCATGACGCAATTATTTGCCGGATAACTTAATGTGCCATCTTTGTTTTTCTTCCGAAACGTGCCGCCAGTCTCGGAACTGATCTGTTCCGTTACATTTCTCAGCTCTGAGGAACACACAGCGAAAGTGTCCTACAGGGGCTGTCGTTTTTTAAGAAGAAAAGAATATGGTTGGCGATTTGCCCAGTGCTATTTTCATACTCATATCCATCGTTGTGAGTAAATTTAGAAAGGTAAGGAAAAAAAAGCAGTGGCTTTAAGCAAGCGATGAGTCGCAATGTCGCCGGTTCTACTTTTCAATGACACGTGTTTTTCAAAACAAAGAGAATTATATATATATNTCAATATATATATATATATATGCATTATACAAAAAGCTATATTAAACCATTTATGGCTTTGAATTTTCCTCAGTCAGATTTGACGTATATTTAGTTCATTTTACGAATTAGTTTTTATCATAATAAAATAAATACTTTATCATTACAAATTAAAAATTTTTCTTTAGTTCTTAGGAGATTATTCCTAAGAATTAAAAAAAAACTGTTAAATTGATGCAGATTCCGTTTAGCTTTTTTTAAAATAGTTTTATAAAACTTTCTTGCAAACAAAGCAATTAATTTATGTTTAATTGGTTATTAAAAATTATATGCATTTAGAATCTGAGGGAAAATATAGTAATTAAAATTGAAGCTTTCACAGGAAACCAGTTTTGCTAAATTGTTGAATATAGTGCTGGTAAGAAACCATGAAGAAGAAAGTGTAAATAAAAATTTTAAATTGAAACTAAGTCTTTCCAATGAATTTTTTTTGTTGTTCAAATGACATTAAATTTTATAATATGCAAGTAGAACTGTTATTAAAATTATTACAAAGTGTCTCTTTCGCTGTCCAATAGAAAAATCAACGTATGCGGCAAAAATTTCGAAATTTCGAATCTTATACATTTGGAGTCTATGTATGATAAGCAGCATATTGCAAAAATATTTTTTCTCAAAAATAAATTTTGTTCTAACAGCTTTCTGAAACGCTTTTTAAGGTTTTCATGGTATTAGCAATGAAAAGAAAATAGTTGGAAAGCCACTTTTCACGAAACGTGTCATGAAGCCCTTACTTGTTTTTTTTTTTTTTTAATTGCAAGGTAGTATTGTAAATCTTCTAAAAAAGATTATCAAGTTTTAATAAAAATAAAGAGAGACAGGAAATAAAACAAATATAGCTCTCGTATCTTAGTTGAAACTTGCTCGAAAAAGTGTTAAAGCCAGGTTTACAATAAAAGTAAAACGCAAAATAAAAAGAAATTTAGTCAATTTTTATTTATATAGTAAGGAAATTAGTAATGCGAGACTAGCGAGATTAATATTGTAGTTAAAGCAGCCTTTAAGTTTTTAAACTCAAAATAAATTTAAATATTTGCCTTTAAGTTACAATTTAGTGACATTAAATGAATTCATCACATTTTTTAATTTTTTAAAAAATTTTTTCCTCCTTACATGCGCCTTTTTATAGAGAAGCAAATATATCTGTTTGGATTTGTTCACTGCGTTTTAATTTAAGATTTTAAATGAAAAAAAAAGCTGTTAAAAGTATTTATATGTTATGTTATGTTATGTTGTTATGTGTTTGTTGTGTTTCGATAAGCTTTAAATAAAAAAGGCTGTTCTATTTAAATAGTTTAATTATTAACTTCCTATACTAGTTCGTGTTTAACAATTCGAATATAATTAAATAAAAATGTTTGATTTGAAATCAAACAGAACTGTAATTAAAGTTTGTTTAATACAAACTTTTAATTCTCTATCTTTTGAGTTTATACAAAGAGATAGATGCATTATTATTTATCTTAAAAAAAGGAGGAAAAAAAGAACTATTTTAATATTAATTTAAGAGTTTTTATTTTTTTGAATAAAATGTGTAAGCTAATATCTTTATCTAAAATATGCTCCTTCAAAAAAATTATAAGATTAAAAAGGCCTATTTTAATAAGATTTCTTTCATTAAAAAATGTTTTTATCATATCTTTTTAGTTATTTAATGGATACTTAATATAAAATTATAAAACTTAAGTTAGTGATCAGAGGAAGGAGTGATCATTTAGGCAGAAATTTAAAAGATTAAGATTTGATAATTGTGTAACAAAAGTTTTCTTTCCCATCAAATTTACATTGTGAAGTAAATACATTTGGAAAATAGTGCACTATTGTGACTTTTTTTCTTTTCTTTTAATTTAAGTTTTTACATTTCCGAAAAAAGGTTTAGAAAGGCTTTTCTGTTAAAGTAAATATTTTTAAAATACTTTTAAAATATTTTTATTTTTGCTAGACTCATTTATAATAAAAAAAATTATTCTTGGCAGGAGAAA